CTCAGTTTAAAATTTCGATAGCTCTATGGGAAGTGGTATTTCCATTACCTATTAATATTTATTTGAAGATTTTCATAGGCTCGATCTATAGAACTAGTCACTGCTATTTAGATTTAACCAGCAGCATTTAAATATAATCGCTATTTCCTTTGGAAGACCTTGCGATGGAATTAAAAGAATAATAGCTACTCAGTTTAAAATTTCGATAGCTCTATGGGATGTGGTATTTTCATTACCTATTAATATTTAAGAAGATTTTCATAGGCTCGATCTATAGAACTAGTCACTGCTATTTAGATTTAACTATCAGCATTTAAATATAATCGCTATTTCCTTTGGAAGACCTTGCGATGGAATTAAAAGAATAATAGCTAGTTAGTTTCAAATTTCGATAGCTCTATTGTGGTATTTTCATTACCTTTTAATATTTACTTGCCAACGAAGATTTTCATTGATTAGATTTAACTATCAGTATATGTATAATCACTATTTCCCTTGAAAGGCCTTTAAAGAATAGAATACCCATTAGGAATGCCCATTAACTTTGTGCCAAAACTATTGGAGCCCTTCCTAAGCTAGGGCATCTCGAATCGGCCCAGTCAAAGACCTTTCCTGTTTTTATCCACCTTTTTTCCGTTGTTTTGTTTGGTGGAGCGCCTTCCTTCGCATTGGACTCTCGTCTTCGCTGTGGCATTGTCTGTTAAATTACGTATACGCCTCGTAGCGCACAACTTCCAACCGACGGCTGATGTGAGTGTGCGTGTGAGTGTGAGTGTGTGTGGCATGCAAACAAAGCCGCTTGTCTGTCAGACTCGAACTTGAAAACTTTCTTGCGTTGAGATTTCTTCATTTTTTCAGCCCTCTGCCTTCCGCCTTCCGCTTTCTGTTTTTGGTTTTGGGTTTGGGCCGAGTCGAAGAACAACAAAAATGAGTTGTAAATGTCAAAAGCGTTTGGAGGATGCCGTAGACAATTTTCAAATGCTGGCAATCTGCACAGCAATTTGAAAAGAAATGAAAATATGCGCAATAATTTACACCCAAGGCAATTTTTCCCTCTATGCCACGGCCCCATACTATTATCAATTCGTGTTTGGATTTTGTCGTTATTTCTATACCCTTACCCTCGGCGCACTCGGGGTATGCATGATATTTGATTGTCTTCGCACGCTGAAATCTCATGTGAATGAATCTAACTTATTGAATCAATGTCCAAAAGCCAGTGCAAGCCATACAGTTTTGAGCCAAATGGAATGAGTAATATAAACTTAATTGACAGGCGCCAGTGCGCGATTTTTAATGACAGTTATGCGCTAACTAGTTTATGACTGCATCTGCAACTTAATTGCGCAATTCCATACTGTTTGCACTGCATTTCGACAGAGTATTCGGTATCGCAAAGTCTGTGACTCGCCTTTGGTCCTTGTTGCTGCTGGCATGACAACTCTTCAGCAGCGAACGACGATTCCGATGGCCAACCATGTCCTTGCCAGCATGTGTGTGTGTTTTGGCTGTAAGCAGCTGTCAGTGATTTCTGACAAATTGATTTGACAGTCGACAGGCGAGCAGGGGGAACCGAGGTGCGGGATGCGGGATGCGGGATGCGGTAGCAACTTTGGGCCACGCAGCAGGCAACTTGGGCGCGTGTGCTAAAAAAAGATGAAAGCCGCCTTGCCGTTGCCGTTGCTACCACTACCACTACCATCGCCACTGAGAGAGACGGGGAGCGAGAAGAGGCTGGCCCGCTCATTTGGCCAGAAGAGAAAGCAGCTAAGCAGAAGCAGCAGCAGCAGCAGCAGCAGAAGCAGAAAAGCAGCAGCAAGCAAAAGCAGCGCCAAAGAGTTGTTGCCCCAAAGAGCAGAGCGTGGTGAATTTTTGTATGCAGCTGTGTGTATATGGATTGTTATTGTTATACCCTGCAGGCCAAAAGGGATATGCTGCACAGGGGAGCATATAATCCCTACTTTGTAGTGAGGCATAGGCCTCTGTGAGTGCAAGCTTGATGCGTCCTTTTAAAATACAGTTTTATCGCATGTATTTAAGTACAATCGCATTTATGCGGGCAGTATGGCTAAAACTTTTCAATATGAACGTGCATTTATGCTTAAGCCCACAACTTTTATCTACAAGTGAGGTTTTTTAAATAAAATACAATAAATCCCACCAGTTATCAAATTATTCCAGATATAAGAAGAATTTCCTTAGATTTCCAAACAGGATCTAGAAGATTGATACTAACCATATGCTCGTTTTGGTTTATGTTGCATCTTAGATAAATGTAGCGGCCACCAGGTGGCGCTGGTGAGCAAACTAAAAGTTCTAGCTGACTAAGAGGTATCGGATAGTCGAGGAGAACGCCATTGGGTATTGGCACCATTTGCTGACATAAAAATAGGCAGTGCGAATTATAATTAGGAGCCATTGGCATACGTATTTCACAGATCTCCCTAGTGTTTTGCTCAGTGCAAAAATCAAAAGCTGAATGTTACATGTTAGCGAAATAAAGGCAGTTGGCTTAAAGTGTTTCCCGGGAAATGTTTTCCGCCCGATAGTTTCGCTTTGTTTCGCCTTCTCCTCCGCTCGCCAGTTACTTCCAGCTAGTTACCTGCTGTGCCGAGTAACTTTGGCTCCTGCTTGATTGACGTTCCAACTGATTGACTAGACTAGTGACTGACGGACTGGACTGGAAACGGAGGGCATGGGCAGAGGGTATCCCGAACTCCCTGCAGCATAACAAATGGCTGCGGTGGGGTGGCCATGTGGGTGGTGACTTTAAACAGGCATGGGAAATGCCATTAGATGAGCAGCTGCCAACGTCAGTGAACGGCGTCTCTCACTTGACAGTTTTATTTATAAACTGTGCAAATAAAACTGTAAATCACTAGGGACACAGTCGGCGAAAGACCGTCGGGGAAAAGTGACCTACATAGATGGCAGGCTTGGCCGAAAAGGAAAAGAAAAAAAACGAAATAATAAAACAGGGGAAAATAAAATATATGGAACTCGGCGCACTGGTAAAACGAACGATGCCGCCACAAATCAAACAATTAATTTCTCTGTCTGAAATTCCAGCACTAAATCAACAGCCAAACAATTGAACCATTTAACTATGTAAATAAAATTAATGCGCCCTGAAAGTGGAAGCTGGCCCAGACTGGGATGGGAATGGGATCTTCGAGAGGCAGCCCGGATAACACCGGACAGCTCCACCTTATGCCTTAGCAAAATATCCATTAAAAAGCAATCAATATATGGAAAATAAATGCCAGTCACCCGCCCCATTCGTCCTCATCTCATTTCATCTAGTTAAGAGCCTCTGCCAGCCGCATAATCTGAATTTAATTTACCCCGCAAAAACACACAGCTAAACAGCAGGGCCCAAACGAAACGAACTGCTGGAAAAACTGAAAAATGTCAAAAACGAAAATGAACTTTCCAGGGGGTCGCTGGGCGGCTCCTGGCGAATGAATGGCCATTAAGTAGCACACCCATAGAAAAAGGACCAAGGAGCTCAAGCTCAAGGTGAGTTTGCCACAGAGAGAGGGGCTTTCGGGCTATCGAGAGAGCGGCAGCCGGCCGAAAATATTCCACAGTGAGTTGCCATTTTGCTGCTCCAACATAATTTGTATGCCTCCTCCAGCCTCCAGCGAAGCGCCCCCTTTGACCTGATTCTAGTGACGTCAGTCGCAGGGCGGGCCTCACGGCGAATACGTAATGTGCGAAGCGGGCTGCATTAGGCTGAAAGTGGAGGCGGCACTGGCTGGCAAGTGGATAACTTGATTAAATGGGAATACATTATATTAGTTCAGCTGTTCGAGCCCTGTCAACGGAAGTCCCTTTCTTCTGGCGCTCTGTTTGACTTTGACTTCGCCATTGACCAGCCACCAAAGTGATATCTTCAATTTTCAGCTGCAACTTCGTAGGTTGGCGAGTGAAGGAGGAGTCGACATGCAACTTTTAAGGCAGGGAGAACTGACAGCTGGCACCAACTTATAACTCAAAGTGCTGTGGCTCTGTGGGCCCCAGGCAATTCCTTCCTTTCGCCCCACGAACAAGGAAAACACGCACACACACACATACATACACATAGAGGGTGACGGTGAAAAGATACAAAACTTGGAAAAACGAGAGCGAAAAAGAAAAGTTTCAGTTACGTGCTGTTGCTTTTAATTGAATTTTTGCCCACTGTAGCTCCTGACTGCCGTGGCTTTCTCCCTAACTGGCCGCCAATGGTCCAATGGCCTGACCAAGCACATCCGCCCGCCACTTCCGCCACTGCCCCTTTTCCCCTTTTCCCACTTCTGCCACTTTTTCCACTTTTCCGAGGCCCATTGCCCAACCTGCAGCCTCCGCAGCATCAGCAGACTCTCGCCGGAGGGCAGATTTCTTGTTATTTCCAACGCGCAGCCAAGTCGCAAGTCCTTAAGCGGTTTATTTTGCTTCACACTGATTTGCAGGCGGCGGAGGTGTCCTGGGGACCCATCCCCGCCAGCCCCTCTACACTTCGAACTAAAAATGGGGATTACCGCCATCTAAATACAAGTTATGCGATTATGAGAGATCATTTATACTTGACCTCGCTCGGCAACTTTCAGACGCGGCAACTTTTAAATTAGAATTGCACTTTACAGTCGCATATATTTCTTTACATTTTATCTGCGCGCCAGTCTTAAATTTCAATTTAAAAACACTAGCAATGTGAGATGATTTTCCAAACAATTCAGAAACTTTTCCGGCAGTGCAGCTTCCTCGATTTGCCGCTGCCAGTTTTTATGCAGCAAGTTTTTAATTAAGAAGTTTCAATTTAACATTGCCCATAGACTGCACTTCGCTCGCGAAAAGCGCATTATCATAATAATTTACTTACCCACTTAGCTGGGCGGGGCACTTCAGAGCATAATTGTGGACGCACTGCTCCCAAAGGCAAGGAGATAGCTTTCAATTTGGCACTACATTCGAACATTTGGAACACAATTGCTGTCGCACACTGCCAAGTTATTGAGGACACGCATGCTGCGTTCCTGGTCCTTCAAAGATGCAAAGTCAGTGGCCATGCCTTTTGATCCTGCTGCTCTTAATCGCACTCGCCCTGGCTGCGGGCGCATACTACACCATACTTCACCCGAAACAGATTCGTAAGTTCGGCACTCCAGTGACCTGCTGGTTTATTGTGACCCCCTACGCATTGCAGATCTGGAGAGCTGCTACCTCAAAGGCGGATCCTGCCGAGAAACGTGGAACTGCGAGGAAAGGTTCCGCTGTCGGGTGCGTACTACGTGCATCAACAAGCGGAAGATCTGCTGCATGAAAACGATGCAGATAAGGAGCCTTCAGGATGCCGAGTACTACGTCGAGTGAAGGTCCTGGGGATTGCGGAAACATGCCACTTTTATTGCAATCCATGTCTTGTACTGAATGTATCATTTCGTAGGCAATTTATTACAATGGATTGGTGAAGTTGAACTATTATTCAGGACCAGGCGATCCTAAATTCTTAGTAATACCAAGTAGATACTCTAAATTAGATGATGTGACATGCTTCAAATCGTTTTTATGCACTTTTGACTACGATTTGTACGTGGAAAGTACAATTCTACATATTCATCACCTTCCTAACTTGCAACGGCTCCGTTAAACATTGTGCCTCACGAAAATTAAAGGCGTGGCCGCCACTCACGTCCACGTCCGACTCTATCCAATTATCTGTCCTGCCATCAGTTCCACTGGTCCATCAATTGAATCGTTATGCCTGCGATAAGTTTAACATTCTGTCTGGCCAGCATCCTTTCCTCGTCCATTCCTCGCCTCCCGGAAGACCCTGGGCTAATTTAGCGAGTTTGCTTTGCCATTTTCCCCACCAATACTGCTCGCAACTCATTTGTCTGGCTGGCTGGCCGGGACTGCTTAGCCAAATCCCAGTCCCCTTCTCCATCCCGTTGCCAATCCATTCCCACGGGGCACTCGACGAGCAACACTTGGCTTTGTCCCACACAAATCCTCCAACACCCTCCAACATCCTGCCGCTTTTCCCATCTCTAATGAAGCGCAAATGTTGATGTAAAAATTTAATTTGGTTCGTAACCCAACGATGCCACACACGCAGGTCCTTGCGCCTTGGCTGCGAAAATGGCTGGGGCGAATGGAATGTCCAAATGTTTATGCATCGTGTGGCGAAACGCGTGTTTACCTTCTAATGTGTGCGTGACATGGACCCATGGGTTATGTATGCGCGCACACACCAGCTCACACACACGCACACACACACGCACACTGTGGCATGCAGGGATGTCCTTCGGTCCCTTTGCTGGCAACACAAAAAATAATAATAAACGATGCCACCACGTACATGTATTAAAAACAAAGCGCAGCACAGAAAACGCTGACAGGCCCTTTGCCTCGGTTGCTCCAGCTACAGCTCCAGCTCCAGCAGCAGCTTGGGGATCCTGGAGGACATCTACTGCTCCTGCAACCCCTTCCACCCCTTCTGCATTATCCGCCGGCAACTCCCGTGAAACCCTGCGAACCGGCAACAGAAGCCCGTCACAAAGCAAAGCTAACAAACTGTGAGCGGAGCGGAGCACAAATGGCGGCGACCAGCGACCGGAAGGAGATGCAGTGGCGCGACCAGGAGGAGCTGGTGGACAGGGAGTGGGCCAAGGGGTGCTGTCAGCCCAGACATTCAATGTCGTTCGCTGGCTGCCAGCGATGTTTACGAACACAGTGCCCCAAGCCAGCAGAACTAGTAAATTACTTTTATCAATACATTTGGTTAGGTCAAGTAGTTTTAAAGGGCCAGGAAATAATTGTAGAACATTAAATTTTAAATATTTATACTTGTAATGAAGCTTAACTTTGTTGAATCTCGTTTTAATGTTTCGTTGGTTGCTTAAAATTCAATAATTCGGCTTCACTTTCAACTGCAGCTCTCCATCTTTTGCCGCTATATGCCCCAAATCAGATTTGCAAATAAACTTGAAATAAAATTACTCCTGGCCACGTGCTAAATCAGTGTCCGTTGCAAAGCGGCAGGCAGGGAAAACTAACGAACGACATCGGCGGCTCCTGGCAAAAGGACCCACCAAAGGGGTGGGCTAAAAGTTTGGCCTCCACCACCACCACCAGCTCCATCTCCATCCCCACTGGCACCTGCTCCACAGTGCTCCTCTTGTTTATGGCTTTGTTTGCACTTTTGTTTATGGGTGTACATTTTAAACGCTATGAGCACCTGCTCCGCCATCATGTGTGGCTGCTTTTGTGTGATCCTGAATGTGCCAGTGCTTCCGTGACTTGTACTTCTCCCCCGAGGCACCAGAGGCAGCAGAGGCAGCAGAGGCACCCGGAGCACCCAGTGCCCCATCCGCCCTAGATTTGCGACCGCCTCCGCTCGGCGATTGCCGCAAAACGAAGCCGGCTTCAGTGTCAGCTGACAGATGCAGTGATTTTAAGCGTCCATCAAAAGCTCCTGTTTGACATTTAATTGTTGCACATTGTTGTCCTTGTGGCCGAGCAAGGAGCGAGGAGCGAGGAGCACGGCACACGGAGCATGGCAAACACGACATCCACGTCAACGGACAATCTTGGTTTACTTTGGTCATTGTTCCCCGCTCGGGTTCAAGGTGAGCTGCGGCCAAATTCTCGACGACCAAGCCATAAAAGACCAGAGTCATGTGCTTTATTACACATTCAACGGCAATGCGGCAGGAGATTATAGCCGTGAACCTAAGCACGGGAATCCAAATATCCGGATATCCAGGTGTGTGCATTGTCGTTAGAGGTGGGAATCAGAGCGTGACTTTGTGGGATTTTCGTCCGTGGGTCCGCACTGCCAAAATACATTTCATTTGTCAGCGGCTGAAAGTTTGCCTGCGGGCAGCCACATGAAAAATTAACAAGACCCAAGCGTGGCAATGCTTTGTGGCATTTGTGCACTTCAATATAAAAGGATCAAAAGGATACACTTTTAACTTCTTGCATTTTAAAAAGAAACGTTGTTTTAATAGTAATTGGTGCTTCGGCATAATTGAGTACTGCTGAAAGTGGTAGGGGAATTAAAGTAACATGCAACATTTATGTTTCAAATGAAAGTGTTCTGAATAGTGTAAGCAAAAGGACCTCAGAGGTGAACTATTTTCCCTGAGGCGTTTGCCATTACAAATATCCCCTTTCAACTGAAAGCAGGAGGAGTTTTCAGAAAATATTTAAGTTTTTGAATTAAAGTTTTACGAGTTGATGTGTGTAACGCTGGCATCCCTCTCCACAGATACAGATACAGATACAGATACAGATACACACACACCTTGAGCATTCGGCCTGAGCAGAAAAACTTGCAAAAGCTTACACGTGTTGGCAAACGTTTTGCGGTTTCATTTCTGGATTATTTTTTGTCTTGCTGGTTGGCCTCTGCCTAATTTCCAACTGTCACCCGAGATGGCTTTTGGACCCCGGAACTCACACACACACACGCACATGCGACCATTTTCTAATGGCCTTTTCGTGGTCAAGCATTTAAGCGTTCCGGACCCCAGTTCCAAAAACCAGTTGGCCCTCACCTTTGACTGTATGTCACTTTGGTTTACTTTTGTGCAACCGCAAAAGTCGTTGTAGCTGTTGGAGAATCCGCACACACACACACACACACACACAGGCAGTTGGCACCCATACATGCGCACATGCACGCTACACACACTAGCATACCTTTTTGACCATTTCGCACACGATGTTGCGGTCGTGTTGACATTTTAAATGCCTTTTCATTTGTCTCCCGCCACTCCATTCGCTTTGGGCGCTAATTTCGCTCAATTTGTGCTTTAAGGCCGCAAATTTGACTCGGCATTCGGCCTAATTGAATAGTGCGGTCTGAGCTTAGCCATATAGGAAAATCTGTTCCAAAAACCAGCTTTAAGCTTTGATTACAATAATGAGCCACTAACTGATGCGATGGATCACAATGGGGCTCTAGCCATCAAGCTGAGATGATAGAAATCGTATCCTTAAATATTAATGAACCCACGGTGACATTTAAGCACTGCTTTGCCGAGTTCACATGTGTACAAATATCCAGCAGACTCTGGCCACATCTGCCCTCTCTGTCGTGCGCACATTACCTCCCTTTCACATCCGCTTCAGATGGTCGCAGCTGGGGGAAAAGTTTGCTGCACATTCAAAATATTTTCTATATTAGTTTAGAATTTCCACTCCCATGCCATTCCCCGGCGAGCTATGGTTTTTCTGGTTTTTAGTGGTGGCATTAATTAAATTTTCATTTTCCTAAGGATACTTTCCATCTGTGTTGGGGCTGGAGTTCTGGGTTCCAGTTCCTGTGCATCGGGAACGCTTTTTTGAATTTGAATTGAATTTTCGGCCCGTCTTTTGGGGCCAGCTGGGGCAATTAAAAGCGAATTTTCCGATTTTCCGCACGCAGTACACAGCGTTTTGACTGTAATTAAAAAATATCACGTATACGACGCATGTGCCCCAAGGGAGCGATTTGAGAGGGTATTTATGACCGACCAGCATGGCTATATTTTTTATACGCAACTCGCCGCGAGTAATGGCTGATTGCCCAAGAAGCACGCACATTTTTCGGAGTTTAAGTTTCGCTGTTATGGCAACTGCCTTTGGCGTTGATCGGAGCACTGGAATTGGAGGTTTCAATTGTAATTCCTACCGACTGTTAATTAAATCATTTTCGACTGATTGCGTTTAGTGCCACTTAAAAACGGCAGTTTTCCAACGAACTCGTCGATCAATTTTAACACGCTATCATGCATGGAAAGTGGCAAACAATCAAGTAAGCCAACAAACAGCAAACAATTAAGCAACCAAGCTGACGGACTGACAGTCAGACAGTCAGACAGACGGAACTGCGGACATGCAGAAAGATGAAACGTTCGTTGGCAAATATTTGTGAAATTCTAAACTGTAATCAGGGCAAAGTGATGGCGGCGGCAGCAAGTGTGCTTAATGACAAAACTTTGCAAATCAGCAAAGCATTTTATTGCCACACACTTGCCAAGAAAGCGGGATGCCTGTTGGGCTGGATGAGCACGAGGGTGACACACATATTTGGGTTGCGAAAACCTCATAATCACATCCTGCACAAGTGCACAAGCGGAGCTCGGAACTTTCCATCTCAGCCAGTCAGCCAGTCAGCCAGTCAGCCAGCATGGCAAACTCATTTGACTGCATCGGAATTAACATGACGAAGGAGTGGCCGGGGCAGCTGGAGCAACAACTTCCTGTCTGCATTTCCCCTTTATGCGAAGGCGGAAGAGCATTGCGCATACGACCCGTTCAACGGCGCTTAAAACTTTCGCCACCCAGCTGAACTGCAGCGAGGGCTTCAGCTCACCTGCGGATCCAATGTATTTCTCGCTAAATCAGTTATGAAAACCCCACAAACAAAAACAATAAGATACTCCCCCGTTCGCCCTGCAGAAACTTCGCTCACCTGCGCAAAAATTTAATTACAACTCGTTTCGCCAGCCGAGAGTGCACGAACATTTTTATTCATAATTAAAACTTTTGGCCATGGCATCCAATCTAATCAGCGAGCGAAATTTTCCGCACCAAATTGGTTTGACATTTTCAGTTTATTCACGGCTCCACTCCCATCATGCGACGCTTGCTGCCGCTAATAAATAAATTATAATTTCAATAAGGTTTTCGCTGGCAGCCCCACTGAAAACTAATTTTCCACTCCGCCCCCGAAAATGGAAAATGGAAAATGGGCACAGGCTGCCTGCGCCAGTTAAGCCAGCTGTTTGTTGCTTTAGTTATTATCGCCTTTGTAGTTATGCTGCCAGCTGATTTTGTTGTTCTAGGCGCTGCATTTCCGCGAAGAGCGCTTTTCAATTTGGCGGCTAAGCCAACAGTAATTGCTGCCAGCTCAGTTTTTCCCATGATCTGTATTACTTACGAGTATATTTATTTGCATGCACCAGTGGCAACTCCTAATAAGTTCAAGTGGCTATTAAGTATTATTTGAGGTGTTTTAGAGCCCCGAAAAAAGTACCATTTAGAATAAAACATGTAAAAAACATAAAATAAATAAATAAACTGCTGTAAAAAGGTTTGTTTTGTGCGGCAGAACTTGGTAATTTTTGTGAAAAATATATATAGTTGTGTGTTATGTTGGCCCACATATGAATATATACGGTATTGGCCATATTGGCTCCAGGATAATATTTGACATCACTTCTTTTGGCAGCTTTCCTCGGGGCACGTCGCTGTCAGTTTGTTTTCCCAGGGCAGCCCTGTCTAACCGATTAAGATCTGGGCGCAACACAGTGGTTTAAGCCCCCTTCCTGCCACGAACTTCGAGCTCAGCGCCCAGGAACAAGGAACAAGCTACAAGTCAAGCAGCCGCCTGCAGATGGCGAACGGCAGATGGGAGTGCTCTCCAGCTTCCAGCTTGCAGCTTTTGAGTTACCGGCTTCATCTGCATTTGGCTCACACACACACGCTCAGTCGCACTTGCAGTTCCAGGTCATGGACAAAATGGCGACGCCTACGCAGCAGCAGCCCGGATAGATGGATGGGTATGGAAAGTGGGTGAGAGTGCAGGAGCAGCGGTCGAGGAAAATATGCGAGAACTCGCTGTTAAGAGCAAAACGCGGACGAAGCGCTCATGTCCGTGTCCCTTGTCCGCTGTCCGCTGTCCGTGGCTCGCAGTCCTTAGTCCCTAGTCCTTGTCCAAGTCCAAGTCCCGGCCTCTTGGCAAATGGCCAGCCCACGTGTGCGCGTGTGTGTGTGCCTGACAATAATCCAAAAGTTTTACAAGCAAAACGAGAGACCATTACATGGCAAAAGGGCTGGCAGAGTCAGAGCCAGAGACACAGAAACAGAAACCACTTGCAAGCTATTTTCATCAGCGATTCTTGCTTTTTTACCCCTGCTATCCTCGCATCCTGGCATCCTGGCATCCCCGCATCAGTATGCGTGTGTGCCTGCCTGCGGTGCAGCTGTGTGAGTGGAACATTTTCCAGTGCCGCTGACAGCTGGCAGCGTGTGGATTTCAGAGGCATGACCGCAAGAGATGCCGCCACCACCACCACCACCACGCCGTAGCCGTAGCCATTTCCATTTCCATCGCCACCGCCAGCTACAACAGTGCCCTCAACAACAGGGCCTGACAACAAAAGTTTGGTGCACCGCGAAAAAATTAGCAAAGCGCCAAGAAAGCCGCTCCGCTTATCTGGCGGAACACCTACCTTAAAAGAACAAGAAACTAATAGTTAGAGTGGTGAAATGAAATAATTTACACGCCAGTTTAAAAATATATTTGTTGGTTCTTCTAAAAGAACTTGGAAAAATTATTCGTGACTTTATGGAACATGTATGCGGGCATTTTTCTCAGTAGGGCCTGAGTCTTCTGCTGGAGCTGGAAACTGGAGCCGGAGCTAAAGTTCATTGTCTACGGCAGACGACGCCACAAAAGGTAAACGATTCGAGGCTCTGTGCCCGATCCAAATAAAGGACCAAAAGCCAGTGCTTAGGAGGGAAAACCACACGGGTCGGCGGAATTTTGGATTCTGCGGGGAGTGCTTACCATAAAACTTGGCCAGACTCGGACTCTCGTAGTGGCCCGCCCATTTGGCAAATGGAAAAATATGCTGAAACGTGAAAAATAAAAAGTTTGCACTTTACACTGGGCACACAATGTGCCACGCCCACTTTACTGCTGCTTAGTAGCCGGGTGTTAATAAATTTAAAGTTGGTTTTAGTCGCCTGCCCGAAGAGTAACAGGCGAGAACTTTCTCCAGCCCATTCTCAGCCGTTAACAAAAACACCAAAAATTGGTCAAAAACAAAAACCTCGGGCGGAGCAGGCAAGGAAAAAGCACAGACACATAAAACAGAAAAGTTTCCTTAAACGCTGCATGGATTGTTATTTCTGTTTTCCTCGGCTCCTCGGCAGAAAAAATCCAGAAAAACACATGCGAGAAAAACGTTTAACAGTCTGTGCCACACTTTCGGCCAGGACATTTATATGGTTTGTTTTGAAGTTTTTGCCTTTCAACTTGAAATTCGCTTAAAGAACACACGCATATATTCATTCGTCAGGGAGAGTGGACAAACTGGGGATAAGTAAGCCGTGTTCCTTTGACTTCCAAGGATCTGAACATTCGATTGGACACTGATTTGACAGCTATTCGACAAACTGGAGCTGTGAGTCGCAGCATAAAAAATAAATTACTAAATGATATCTACGCAGCTTTGAACTATTCCTATCACTCAATTTATACATTTACTTCGCCCCCTTATTGGGAATTTTCATTTCAGTTTGACTTTCACACCGCCATCCTTTTATTTCAACATGTTTAAGTACACACAATATTTCTCACTGAAGCAGTTGCGCTATTTGGTTTTAAAATAAATCATTTGTTTCTACTTGTAGTTTGGTTGGTTGTATATAATATCAATTTAATTCAAACAGGTGCAGCACACAACATTAAGAACCCTTAGTACTTCATTGCTCTGGGAATTGTATTTTATGGTGCTGGGTTATAGAGAGCTCGGTAATACTTAAAAGACATTTCAACTTTGCACTTTTCGTCTTCGATTGTTGTTAGTACTGTAATGTCATGTAAAATCCACATGGATAACAGGCTTACAAAAGGTTTACCAATTCTAGAATGTTTTAGCAAAAGCTAGCCAGACTACAGAGGCACTTCACAGGTGTTCTAAACTAATCTAATCGAAACGCTCTAGCCGTCGACTACACAAAAGCCCTTGTCTTTTTATATCCATGAAAATAAGCCTGGCGTGATTTAGTTGCCCCTCGGATTTAGTACGAGGGCCTGAAGGCGTTGCGTTGTGAAAGAACCGAGTCGGGGCTCTTGAGTTCCATGGCTAGCTTGTAGCCCAGTTCAGGACGACGATCCCTGCCCTCGGCCATTGCCTTGACCTGGAATAAAAAGTGGATATTATCAATTGGAAAGTATGATCGGCAGTGGAATCTTTATCACCTGATTAGTGTGGACTATGACGCCATCGCTCGTGTTGACCTTCTCCTTGGTGTGCTCGATGTCGTGGAAGTCCGTACCCCGGCAGCAGTCGTCGATGAGGATGGTCCTGTAGCCGGCGGACAAGGCGTCCACGGCGGTGGCTCCAACGCAGACGTCATAGGCCAGTCCGCACACGTAGATATCGGTGGCGCCCTTCATCTTCAGCTGGGCATTCAGAGTGGTGTCCGACAGCTTCTTGTTGTCCCAGAAGACCGAGTAGGAGTCCACCTCGGGATTGGTGCCCTTGTACACCTTGATGCCGTGCTCCACCACCTTAAGGTCCTTGTGCAGCTCGGCGCCCCACGAGTCCTGGACGCAGTGACGTGGCCACAGACGCTGCTTCATCGGCGGCGGTCCTGCGAAAATGACCGTGTCAAACACCTTGGCGGAATCCGAGTCCAACTAAAGAGCGGGGGTTAAAGAGATGGCTGTTAAGTGTCCGACGCTTCCGTTCAATTACCATCGACGTCTTACCGAGGAGGACTCGTCCATGGGGCGCATTTTGACATTATCAATAAATGAAACGTGATCGCTGGGATGCCAGTCCAATGAGTAGAAGACGGCATCAAAGTCCACCGTATCCAGCAGCTTGTTGATGGGCTCCAGTATCTGCAGAGAAGGTGGTGTTGGGATTGGGATAAGAAGCTGGTTAGCAGGCGGTGGCACTTCCACACAAAGTCAACTTGGGAGCCGGGCGGAGTCCATAAAGCGACGAGACGGAAGTGCGTGTTATTAATTTTGACAAATTTTCATGTACCAGCCACAGAGCCATGTCAGTTGCCAGATGGAAATGGCAATGGCAATGGCAATGGAGTGGGCGTTGGAGGGGCAGTGGATACGAGAGCGAGCAGGAACGAGAGATCTCGACGACTTCCGGCGTGTGTCGCAGCGCGGAAGCGACTTAAGTAAAGCATATCCGCTTCCGCCTCTGCACTCCCCCACTGCCCCACTCCCCCACTCCGCCTCATCCCGCTCCTTATCCCTGAAAGTATCTGGGTATTGAGCTCCGACATGCAGAGGAGCGCCCAACCCCCCAGGACCAGCTTATCCTCATCATCTGGAGCGGCAATGACTTTGGCTCGAACCCGGCCGGGTCGAGCCCTTCATTTTCATTTCTTGTTACGCTTTGCTTTTTTATGTCCTTCCGTCGTCGCCGCTTACCGCACCTGGCGGGGCTTAGCTGCTGGCCAGGTAGCTGCCACATTAAGCACCCGAAAACCCCGCCCGCCCCGCTCCATTTGCGACTCCGGCGCTCACCTCGTGTCCTTGCTGCTGTGCACTGCAATTACTTATATCCAAGGAACCACTTATAAAATCATTTTGTACATCAACAATGAGGAACGCGTTCACCGGTCGCACAATCTGCCAGGGAAGAGGAGAAAAGCGAGAGATGGTGAGTATCACGAAAATGTTACAGCGGGAAACATGAGCAGCCACGAAAAAAGGAAAACAGGAGCAGGGACAACGCAAAATGAAGGAAAATTGTAAGAAAAATTGTATGGGCAAAGTAAGTGAAGCTGGCGCCACAAAGGCGGTGCGGGGTGGAAGGTGAGAGGGCGGCGAGGTGGGGGCGGTGCCGTTTCTGGGCGGACCGGAGTACCCAGGCTACCCGGGCTACCCGGAGCACAAACATGAAAAGCTAAAAAGAAAATTTGTATACATATATGAGCTCTGCATTAGCGTGTGCGTGTGCGTGTGCCTGTGCGTGTGTATCGGACTCTTTGTGTGTGCGTGTGTGTGCTCGCCGTCGACTGATGAGTTTCTTTTTTGCCGACCGGCGTTATAAATGCGTTTTAAATGAAGTAAAAGCCAGTCAAAAAATAAGGGCATAAAAATAAAAATCTGCAAGCATCGTTTTCAGGCATAGGGAATTGTGGATGCGCTTTTAATATAAAAAAGTATCGCAATTAATACCGCTTCTTAGATCCAGGCTCATATTAGAGAAGAAATATTTATTTTTAGATAGCACAACTTTTTTTTAAATAAAAAAAATTATACAAAATATTCTGTTAAGCAACTTCAATATACTTTGTACTCTATTTGTTTTATATTAGCATTTACAACTGCCTGTGTTTTAAAATTGGTTTAATTAGCCTTAATTTTTTAGAGAATGCAAGTACTTGTTGCTCCGAACCAAATAACCTTGATTTTTAAGTTCTTTTTGGGTTTTCTGGGGCCAAACGTTGTTCGCCATCCATTATATGTTTCTTATTTTTTATTTTTTGCAGAGCATCTAAATTTGCCGCACAAACTCACGCGCAGACTTGGGCAAACACAGACACACAGGGAGCAGCTCGTTAGGTTGTCATTGCTATCTTGACTGGCAGCAGGAGCAGCGGCATCATCAACAGTGTCGAAAGCATCATCAACAGCCCCATCCCCAGCCATCCTCATCCCCTTTTCCAACTGAATCCTGCTGCTGCTCCTCCTGCTGCCGCTCATCCTCGTGGCTCACTGTAAGCTGATTATGTTCGAGCATATTTAAAATTAGTGAAGCGCTTTTAATTTGTTATTTATGTGCACGCTGATTATGAATGATTATGATCTATGCGCAAACACAGACGCAGTTGCAGCTCCTGCTCCGGCTCCTGCTCCTGCTCCTGCTCCGCCTTGTTGTCGTACTGCTCCTCCAGCTCCTTTGATTTGTGTTGTTTGGGCTGGCAGGGCATTTAAAATATGTCATCCAGCTAAATGCCTTAAAGCGCTGGAACGTGAGCTGCAGCTGCAAGGATCCACAAGCAGGTGAACCAAGGAGTTCTGGGCAGCGGGGAGACAGCGCTTAAGCAGTTGATGATTTATCACCATGTTGGCAGTCGCACTTGCCACTGGGATGCAGCCACTTGGGCTGCCAAGAGCGGAGAGAGGAGCTATGGGATAGGAGACGCCAGGCGGGAGAATGGAGCCCACAGTCGAGAGGAAGTGATTTACATTTACATGGCGAACATTCTCAACATTTTGAGAATAGTTTCCAGCGGGGGAGCAGTGGGCAGGGGCTGCAGCTAGATAATAGCCGGATCAAGGTAGTTAATGTATCAATTTAGCCAGGTTCGTGTGTGTCGGATGGAAACCGAGTGTCTAAGTGAAAGGAAGTGTTGGGTAATTTGGGTTCAGGGAATGCCCGGGAAGATTAAATGCCTGGGATACGAGCAGCGACAGAATCTGCTGCTAATATGACCATAACTCCTGCTGATAACTCCTAAAATGTGCTCGGTAGGATTGGCTGCTCACACGACACGTTGTGCGCGATAGCTTACATCAAACTTAAGCAGTCTGGGTCCCTGCCCAACTCAACTACAAATCAAGTCTAACCCGCTCCCACTCAAAACTGAACTCCAAACAATTAAGCCAGACACATTAGACAGGCCAGGAAGCTGAGCCAAGTTAATAACTGGGGGCAAACACGGCCAAAGCCACAAAAGGCTCTGCACAAAGGGGCTAGAGATGGAGGTGGCATACCCGCTGTCTGCCGCAATTTGCACATCAAGTTGCTCCTCGCTCACCTCAAGAAATCAGGGGCAGGCTTCCAATTACGAGCCATCGGGCACAGATGCTACCCAAGATCCAGCCCAACATCGTCCGGCTGCTGCAAAAGTTGGCAAATTAACACGCTCCCCGTCCCCAACTGCTGGCCAATATAAACAAGTGACCTCTGGGCCTTTGTATGGCGTAGCCTCCAGGAAATCGGCATCTTAATTTGAAGTTGAAACTATGCATCTCTGATGAATGAGGCTGCCGCACTTGCCCTTCCACGTGCTACTTGCTACAGTTAAATTAATCATGGAAGGCTTGCTGGTGGGACCCAACCACAGGTTGGTTTTTGGGAAAGCTAGAAAGGCTTAGCACCTTTCGGCAGCCACAGAAAATCTTAAATTCAAATTACACTTTAACACGAACAAAGGGAACAAGTTATGGGAATAACTTTGTCAGACCCACACACACTCTGCTCACTCCTGCTCCGGGAAAACTTTCTTCTTTCGGTTCGACTCAATTTCGGTGGCAAATAAATTTCAAAATCCGTAAAACCCCGAGCGTCGACGTTTTTTGGGGCTACCGGGCGGGCGTCCGCCAATCCACCAATCCCAAATCGGGCGCCCAGGCCAACTTCAATTCATTCAGGCAGACAAACTGTCAAAGTGCTCGTGTGTCTATGGGTTTTAAGCCAAAAAAGTTGCCAAGCTAAGCGAGTGACGACGAGACGAGAGCCACGAATCGAATCGAATGGAATGGAATTCAACTTGCTATTGAAGTATGTGCCAAAAAGGCGAACGTGCCGAAGCCAGACCAGACACACCCACATGCCAGACTTGCCCCCCATATATATACATATATATATACACATATATTTGGCATAACACATATACCCAAAATGCACACCTTTCGGGGGCGGGGCGGCGGAGGCAGGTGCTAAAGCAATTTCCGCTCCGAAATTGTTGCATAAGTTGGTGGCTGCCAGTCGCCGGAGACTCGTATGTATGTACACATATATTTCGCATAGGCAGACAGTCCTCATCGTCCTGACAGTTTTGTGGACTTGTGGGCTGAACAGGGCTGGGGCTGACAGTTGCTGGAAAATTACATTATACAATTTATGCGGCTGCCAGACAGCCGGGCTGGGGAGCCGGGCGGTGGGACGTGGGACGTGCAGCCGCCAAAAGAAGTGAAAACTAACTATAAATAAGCGCTCACAACTTACGCTGCTATTCGGCTAAAGGTGGCTTGGGTTGCGACAGACTTGTGGATGGTGGGAAATTGTTTTGCCGAGCCGATTTCGATTAGGGCTAAAGTTTGGCAAGAGTATTCTTATGGGTGGTGCCCCTTTTTCCAGAACTACGGCTTATCAGTTTGATACCAAAAGGAATGAAAATGCTGCAGCCTGATATAAGAATAATACTGCATATAGTTTATGCTTCAAAAAATATGATCATTGGGTGCTATCGAAGGATCATTAGTTGATTTATTGCCATAGTAATATATTTCAGCTGCGCTAAGCACCTGAAAAATGTGCCTGCAAACCCAACTGACAGGAAATCGAATTGCAGATCCTCGTCCTTTTTCTCCAAATTTACATTCGAGCCACAATGGCCGCCGGATTGGCCGCTCCTAGTTAACCTGTAATTTATCGTATTTTTCGTCGATTCCGTTCGAGAGCTTAAGAAATGGCGACTCATTTTTCAATAAAGTCCAATCAACTAAAACCAACGCTCAGACTGGTCACTAAATCAGTGAATCTGGCTCCTTCTGGTCATCTCCTCCTCCTCCTCGCTCCCCCTGATTTCCGCCGCCGCTGCTGTTCATTTCCGGTGACTTTTCGGGGTATGTTATAAGTCATTAACTTTCTAAATAATCGCCGCAGCGTGTCAACTTTGCTCGTTAAACTTTCATCAGTCGGCGGTGGAGGCGGTGGACTCGCCAGGCCGCCAACCAAAAATCCAGCAGCCAGCAGCAGCAGCGACCAGCAAAAATTAAGCTCGGAAAAATTGGGCTCGGAATCGAGCGGGGCAAGCACGGGAAAAACTGAGCAAAATTTATAGCACGATATTATTTTCCGCTCGCTGAGCAGGGAAGTTGTGAGGCGACTTTTGGCACTCACTGTAATTCTTCTGCCCGCCAAGATATTGAGCACTCGCCGTGTCTTTTTCGGTGTTGGTGCGTAACTGAGCACAAAAAATGTGCCACATTTTGTGCCATAAATGAAGACATTATAAGCGACACTGTCTGCTTTTGTGTCGCTGTGCACTTGTGTGTGTGTGTGTGCGAGTGTGTTGGTAAGTGGGGGCAAGATTAACGGTAGACATTGTAAGACACTTAAAGCTGTTGAAGATTTTTGAGTTGCTTTACGGCCAGGGGGTTCAATGAACTATATGATGATGCCCTGTATGATATATGGCTGCCACGCCCATCGCCCACCGCCCACTCTCTACTGCGTATGTGTGAGTTTCCACAAAGGAGCCAACGAGCAGGTGAGGTGGCCATAAATTTATTATACGAGAAATAAGAGCAGTTTAAAGAAATGAAATATTTACGAACAAAGGAGCCCGAAATGAAAAAATGGCATGTACTTGTACCTGAAAAGAAGGCCCGGCCCCTCGCAGTCAATTGAGAGGGCCAAAAACGTCAAAGGGAGGCCCAAACAAAGGGAATAGATTCGCATTAAATAAAGTGCCAGGCCAGCGAGTTTATCAGGAAAGCGCTGTGCTGTATATGTCCTTTCACCTTTGTCAATTAGTATTTTAAGCAAAAGGGACCCGAGGAACCCAAAAACTGAAACTTCACCTCAAGGTCTTGTCCCTCGTCAAAAACACGGCTCCCAGAAACGGAAAAGCCACAGCTTTTCACGCTCGAGGCAGTTTCCACATGGAACACGGAAGACGGAAAACCGAACGCTGTGCAGTTGGTTAAAAAACATTTTCTGCACATTTAGGCACATAAATTACGCTCTTTCGGGCAAATGCAAACACAATAAAAACATCAAAACGAAAACGCGCCTCATATTGAATTATGCTTGTAAATCAAAATTGGGGTAAATAATGGACAGCCAGTCGGCGACTACCTTTCGCATCCAAATGAATTCTGGACACGCGCAATCATTCGATGGACCCACGGTCGTATTATTTCCATAAATTTGCTTTCATTTCCATTTCCGTTTCCGCAAGTTCAATCGATTTCAATGTGCAATCCCATCCACACCGCTATACATACAAATATACATACTTGTATGTGCGAGCGTATTTATAAACAGACAGCCGCAGGAGCCGCAAAATATTTAGCGACCGATGCAAATGATTTATGGCGTTAATGTTCTATTTATGCGTTTATTTAATTTGGCTCGGTGTGTGTGTGCCACAGTTTCCTCGTCATAATTCTAAGCTAACCCGCAATCCTCCCCCTGCCCTCAGTTGATTTGTTTATTATGCAAATTTTTCGGCTTGTCTGTTGTTTTTCCTTTTTTAGGCACTGCGTTTCTCGTGCCTCTGCCCTTCGCACAAACATTAAACTGCAAAATTACCATTCATGCAATTCATGCGGAAATACAAACAAAAGTCAATTTTATGGGGCGGTATTTTCCTGACTTTTTTCAGCTGAATCCCCACCCAACTCGACTTTATTTCATTGCTCGTGCAAAAACTGCGAATGCGTAAGTAGGGTTTCGTTAGGGCTGTCATTTTTTTAAGTGTTGCCGTTATTACAATATCAGCTGCCGGAAGATTTCATTCGCTCTGCTTTTTATGCGTTAATAAATTTTTTATACAATATTACACAATTTGGTGTGCGCCAGCGGAAGGGGCGGTCCCTGTAGGCGGGGCTAAATGGCATATCAAAAATAAAATGATTATTCTTTTCCTCGCTCCAAAATAATTTGTCGCGTGACAATGGAGGGCAGGACTCAACAGGCAACCGCCAACACTGCGTATACGTAATGGGAATGTGTCTGTGGGCGGATTGTTAAGAGGAGGTCATCAAAGTTGATGCCGCCGTGCGGTAGGTGGACAAAAAGTAAACACACTGCTGGTTTACCATCCCATAACATAAGGCATCCAATAGACTTGATATAAATGGTGAAATGATACATGATTAACTCGGCATAAAGCGAAGATCTCAGCCCTGAACACCTTTTAACCATTTACAAAACGCTTCTTTGGTGCTACCTAACATTATATTCATTATATAAATGAATAACTAAAAGCAGCTTAAAGGTATTCTGTATATCAGGTGGAAACTCATCGTTAAAAGTTTTTCTGACCCGTAGAGCGCCGAGAAAAGTATGGCCAAACTTTATATATTGTGCGAAATGTAAGTAAACAAGCAGTTTCAGGCAATTACTGCTGTATTTACGATTTCCCTATACTCTATAAGACCGCTATAAGTGGCATTAACAATTTAAGCAAAAAACGCAATGGAGCTCAGTGTACTAAAAATATATTACAACTTTGCTTTCTGCTGAAGCGAAAACGATTAAATCAAATTTCTAATCTTTGTCGACATCTAGGAGTACTTTTAGCTGTGGAAATCAAACAGGAGACCCCATTTAACGAAGAATCTTGTAAAGAATCTTGTTCATAGAATTCTATTTAGATCGTTCTATCAATAGACCAAACTTTATGGAACACTTCTCTCCTATTTCCACTCGAGAAAAAGGAAAAATTCAAAACCGCCGAGCTTCAAGTAGCTTAAAGCCGGGTACAATAAATAAAGAAGTCTTTGCAAATTGGTACCATCACGTACGCAATTTTATGGCGGAGACTGTGGCAAACAAAGTTGTGATGCGGATGGAGATGTGCGAAAGTCATAGACTACAACAATAAAATTATTTGAAATTTTTTCTGCCCATTTCTATTTTAATATGCTGGGGCGGAAGGCGCAGAGGACTTGAATGCAACTTGGTCCATAATTCCCGACTTCCAGTTCCCACTTTCCGTGGCATTTTATTTGTCACGCGTTTTTATCTCTTTACGTGCGGTGTCTGGCCACTGTGCCAGTGTGTGTGCGTGTGCGTGTGTGCGAGTGTGCGTGTGTATCTGTGTGAGGCAGTCCCGGCATCGGATTATCACATTTGCATATGCCGCCGCCTGCTGCTTCTTCTTTGTGACAGGCCAGCACAACGATGATGATGATGACGGAATGGAAATGGGAGTGGGAATGGGATTGGAGATGGTGCGCGAAATACGAAATGCGGAATGGAAATGATGATGAAAGCATCCCTGGGAGACCCATGACGTGTGACATTCGCTGTAAGCGACATTTTACCACTGCCCAAGCACCCGAATCCCCCCGAAAATCCTCCCCGCCGGAACTCCTTGCGTCTGCGACTGATCAGGATTGAATTACACACACAATCCGAGTAGTCGGCCACTTTGATTGCAAATTTAGCTTCATGTGTGTGTCGTGTGGTGGTGGGATACATGTTGACAAATATTTTATTATCACGTTTTTTATGATTTAACGAGTCCCCGGATATGCATCGCTGAATAAAGCACGACGTTAACCGCAAAACAAGAATTCATAAATAGTGCAAGAAAAGCAGGGAAGGATGTGGGAAGTTCTCTTGGCTCTGGCTCACCGTTTTTATCCACTGGTTCCAACAGAATTTAAACTCCTCCCGGTCGATGAAGCCATCGCCATTCGTATCAAAGACTGCGAATATCTGCTCCAGGCGCTCGGGGGGCACATCGTAGATGTGTCCCTTGTCGTTGCGGAACAGAGCTCGGCAGATTATAGAAAATTCGGCGAGACTCAGGCGGTCGTCACTGGGAAAAAGGATAGAAAATCCGGAAAACTCGTGTTAGAAAAATTGAAGAGTTTACAGCGTACAGAAGCCCGGGAAATGTGGGAGCCTTGGCGAAGCAAATTACCAAATGGGTTTGCCTTAAATGCAAAATAAATAAATAAATAAACTAGCTTGTTGATTGAAATAGCGCAAGGCAGCTGCTAATCAGGCGTTTATCTTTTCTGTTAAGTTATTTATTCACTAAAGGTTCTCCAATTATTATTTAAAATTGTGTTTTCCAACGCCGAAATAAAAATCGCAGTGCTCGGCAAGCGTTTTATAACCAGACCCACTTTATTCGTGTCATTTGCATTTATTGATTCACTCTAAAAATGTGCCATATAAAAAGGCTCAAAGTGTCAATTAGAAATAATGCACGTTGTTTTACGTTGGACAGTCTGTTATAAAATCAATTAATTTTCCATTTGCCGGACGGACGAAGTAAAATATTTTAATGGTTGTTTATTTATTTGAAACGACCGTGAATATGCATTGGGCATATATTTCAGCAGTTTTATTATTCCAGTTTTATTGTTTGTTTATTTGTTTTGCCAAATAATCTACTTTGCGGCTTGTGGTGCCAGCGTGCAGCAAGCCCATATGCAATTATAAAGGTAATTATATAATTTTGAAAGGAAAGTGTTAAAAAAACAAATGGCCCGCGTCGTCCCAATTCGAGATTATATAATTACAGGATTAATTTATAAATAGTCGATTATGTGCTGGTGCATGAAATACAATTAGCCCGCAATGCCGAGGATTTCGCCACACTCACCCATCCTTGTCGAATGCCGTGAAACAGGCGTCCATTGCTGATCCGTTCGAATCTTCGATGACAATTGGCGGTGTAGGTGAATCCATAACGGCGACGATGTTGCCAACGTCCAAACAAAGCCAACGAATCCAGCAGCGAACTCTCACTTAATGAAGCTCCCGCAGCCAGCTGCAAGTTAAAGTGAAGCCATCAATAATAACAACCGCGCACACAGGGCCACACACGTAAACACTGCTGGGTGGAAAAGCTATTTTCCTTCAAGGGAGTATCACCGCCCACTCACTGAACTCTCTGCGCCCACGTTGTTGTTCCTTAGCCCGCTCAGCTCGAACGCTTGCCAGTTACTGAAAAACTGGCGCACTCGCTGGCTGACTTCCTTCTGCCCGTTTCGATGGCCAAGCGCCGCTTGCCTTCCATAGTTTTATCGAATAAACAAGGCGCACACCCGCCCGCTCCCCGATTCCCCAGCTTTTTGGCCAAGCCACCAGCCGGGGCATTGTCATGGCGACGACGTCATCTTGTGGTTTATTTTATTTATTTGATTTTCACCGTGCCCTGGCCCACCCAGCCATCCACATCCATCCAAGCTTTTGTGGCGGCGCCCGCAGACGATTACCTGGCGTTTTTCCTAATCAAGGAAGTGTGCGTTTTACACTGAGGCAGATTTATCTGTCCTCCCCATGTTTCTTCAAACTTAAAGGGGCACAGGCATTGTTCAGTAATTTCATTTATATCTGCTCTCAGCGGTAACGTAATATGTGTGCAATTTAAACGCTGCAAATTGAAACAAATTAATATCGATTTACCCACCTAGACATCGAGCATAATCCCGGCGATAATTCACTTACACAAATTCTGTGTAATGTGCAATAAATTTATTTTTAAATTGAGCTTTAAAAAAATTTTTTTAAGTTTTCACTCTAGCTCTTGTTAGGTTTAAAATACTAATCAATGAATATTTAACTTAACGTCTGTAAGTTGCCATTTTTCCTTTTTAGATTTGGTTAAGTTAATCATCTATCACGATTTTGGTTCGTATTTCTTAGATTTATGCAAAGTGCACTGCCATCGAATTGCCATTGTTTTTCCCCCTGTATGTGCAGTGATTTTCACCGGGTTTTTGGGCCAAGTTAATGGCGGCACAACGGGAGGCGAATAAGGAAGTTTTCGACATTTAGCCTCGAAATGCGGGCCTCAGAAAATGCGGACGTCAGGAATCGGAGTTGATTGTTGTGGATATGTGAGAGGTTTTGAAAAGCGTCAAATAAGTGGAAGAAGTTGAAGGATCCGCAGAAAGGAAAGTTTATGGGAGCAGGACTGCGGTACAGTTGCGTGCGGGGTTCTTGAGTTGCCATCTGCTAACAAGGCCAATTGCGTTGGCTGCTTTGGCATTTCTGACTGCTTTTCCACGCTCGAGTGTCAACTTTTCATCTAAGCTAACAAGGTAACTCAGCATTTCCAGCCACTGCCATTCCCTTTTTCCGCTTTTCTTACACTTGCCTTTCTGAGATATTAGTTTTTAAGCCTCGCTGCTCGGATTTCTTCTATTTGAGTTTCGTTTCACAAAAAATCTCCTTTGGCTGCATACATTCACCTGCAGCTTATAACATTTCCATTTTCCCACAGCCCAAACCCCTTGCCGCATTCCTTCTCCATTCCCCCGGTAAGCCACAAAGCCATAGATTTCCATTTAACTTTTAGTCCTATTTCATCCAGAGCTCCCAGGCTAAGCTCCCAACATTGTGTCCTGCTCCAGCTCCTGCCATTCCGGCATCCTTTTCCTTTCCTAGTACAACTAATGCGCAGCAGGCGATAAATTTAAATTTGGACGGCATTGTATGTGTGTTTAGTTAATATTAAAGATTTATGCACAATATGTTGGCTGCACAAGGTACAAAGGGCGCAATAAAATACAAAATATGCCCATGATTTATGGGCGGGGCAAGTCGAAGGCGGGCTGTCAGTGATCGCCGCCGAGTATCGCTTTAAATTGCCACGCAAAGATGGATACCGTGATACAATAACAAGTTTGCGGTTTCGCTTGGCCAATAACTTTTGGCCGCAGATAAACAAACATAAACATGAACAAAATGCTGGCGAGCGATAAAAATGCGCATAATTTCGCTGAGCTCGGCACAAAGTTTGTCCAAATAAACTTAAGTACAACTCCTCACCCCCGGGAAAATACAATCCGAAGCCCTGCTCAGTCGTCAGAGGCGCCCCGAAACACACTAATTGAAAACTATTTTTGGACGCAGCCCTCCTGGGAGTCCGGGGAGCCCGGGGATCCCTGGGTTTTTGGGCTTTTGAGCCTTGGGTCTCGGATTTCTGGTTGCGGGCTTCCGGGCCTCCGGGTTTCGGGTTAATATGTAAATGGCGGATAACGCGAAATGTGCAAACTTTGGCTGCGAAACAATTTACGCGGCATTAAGCGAAACGCGTGCGCACACCTCACCTCATGGCCTCTCCTCCAGATTGCTTTCGATTAAAGTTGTCGACGTCAAAGTCATTGACTAAATAAAGAGCATCCATAAAAGCGGCAAAGTAGTTAGCCCCCGCCCCACCAACTGGCCAAAAAAAGCAGAGGAAAAAACTTTGACAATTTGAAACGACGGGGAAGGACGAAAGTTCCGCAAATGAAAGTCAGCCAAGAATAAGAGAGAAATAACGAAGCCAGCACGTGTCCCGATTATGAGTTCCACTGCCGAAGGTGACAAGGGGGCTGGCATTTTCCAGGTGGCGTTTTTCGGGGGCCAAAACTTCAGTTGTGCCACGGAGCAGGGAGCAGATTTCAAGTTTGCCCCCAATAGATTTTGATGGCCATGAATTGCCGCAACTGCGTGATACTCCACAGCCACGAAGGTTAAGCAGCTTGAGCTTGTGGTGAAAACGTTTAAAAACACCTTGGTTTTATTACTTATTAAACACGAGATTGGGCTTAACTGATTTTTAAAATGTGGAATAATTGCCACATAAAGTATACCAATAAATGTATACTAAGAATAACCTGTAAATCAAATCAAACCCCTAACTTATCTGCCATAAGTGCTAATCACAAAGGTACGACTTAAGGTAAACTTGTTTTATCAATTTTCATGGCAACTTCCGCCGCCCTGCAAAGCCAACGAATCCGCGAGGCACTTGAAAACTTCTAATGCTCTCCCCGAAGACGAAAAAAGTGGGGAAACTTTAAGCTGCCGCCAAAAGTCCGCAGCCAGGGGAGGCGCGGATGCGAATGCGGATGCGGATGCGGATGCGGATGCTCCATCCGGCGGAGCAGAGTTAAGGCGCCCGGGAAAGCGGCGGAGTGGGCGAAAGTCTTGCATAATTTGCCTGCCAAGCGCTGAAAAGTAAATTACCGCCTAAGACTTCCTGTATTTGTTGTTTCGGCAGTGGGCGTGTCAAAAGTAGCTTGTCACGGCGATGGGATCAGCTAATAAACCACGCATCTCGCATCCCGGGCCACAGCAGACACAGCAGACACAGGAAGCCAGGAACCCAGGGCCAAGTGGAGCATTTAAGAGCAAACGCCTTTGGGGCTCGTCAATTGAATTGCCAAAAAATTTAGCAGCTTCTGCTCGGCTGGCTCTGGCTGGGGTGGCTTGAGTAGGCTCAGATGATGGAAACGGGACCTGGGATGGTAAATCAGGCGGCGGTAAATTGGCATTAAAGCGAATGCCTTACCGAACTTCAAGCTACTCAAAAATACATGCTTTTCCAAAAGGAGGCGCTTCAAAACACTTAGCTTTTGCCATAAACTTGATCTGAACTAGTTGAAAAGTCTTAAAAGGAATGTAAGCTCATGAACTAAGAATATCAAGACAAGAGCATATTTTCAGCCATCAATTTGAGCTTCGAGAAAACGGCCATACACTCTATCGCAAGATACAGCATTTTCTCCAAGTGCAGATAGGGCTGGGCCTTGTATGTGTGCTGCCTATAAAAGGCTTTCAATTTTTTGTGCTGTCTGCCGGCGCCGGTTCTTCGTATAGGTTTAATGCAGGCACGTCAGCAGCAGCAATTTGGAAAGGAGCAGCCGGAAAAGCAGCAGCAGCGGTGGCAGGATCAGAAGGACGACAGGCTACGACATTGATGGATACGCAGTTAAGGAATGCCGAGTCAGCCTTTGCCTGCAGTAGGTGTCAGTCAGTTCCTCAGTTCCCCAGTTCCCCAGTTCCTCAGTGCGTCAGTCAGTCATCACAGGCTTCCATCAATCCGTCCATCCGTCCATCCGTCCGCACACGGTTGTGTGTAGTGTGTGTGCGATGGGTGGCACGTGGTTGGCTTTTATCACTTGTTAGTATCTAAAAATACGTGGCCCACATGCCGTCTTTCATTTCATTTCATTTCAGTTGGTTCGGTTTGGTTTTTCGTTTGGTTTTCGTTTGGTTTTCCGTTTCCAGCTACTCCAGCACCCGCTCTCTCACCTGAACCGCGCTTAAATACAAAATGATAAATTGCCATTTTGACTGCGGTCCCTGGTGCGGCCTCCAATCCACAAAAGTCCCGCCCGTCACCCTGGCCGCCCACTTTGACCCGCGGCACTGCAATAACGCAATGAACTGAACTCCACTCCACTCCACTCCGCGCCACTCAGCTGCTCCCAGTCCCAGTTTGTTTTGGCCTCGAATGCCTGCTGCTTCTGCTTTTGGCCTGCAAACTGTTTTTGGCGCATTGGCTGGGCTGAAAAATGTTGGCGTTACGCGCCGCTGATGTCGACGCCCAGATAACATTAAAACGCGAATACGTGGCTTTGCAAACACCAGGACCACTATGGCCTGCCCCCCACCAGTATCCGTGCCCATACGCACACCAATACCAGCACCACTACCACTACCACTACCACTACCCACACCAACACCAAGGCAAACTGGCACGCACACAGGCCCATCTGCATGCCCAGATGGAAAAGATATGGAGGAGCGGTAATGGGCCGCCTCGGATCGTTGATTCCTGAAGGCTAGGAGGCACCGTGGTGCAATAGTGCCAAATGGACCACTCAGCTGCTCGCCAACTAATGGATTCGAAGAAAATGGCATTGCACAGAGGATAGCAGACCAGCAGATACTTTTTAGAAATGCCCTTTGCTGGTGCTTGTAACTAAAGTTATAAGTAGAGTTTAAGCCGCCACTTTAAGTTAAAATTACCTAGATAATTTATAAATCTAA